CGATGCAATCCATAGTAGCTCCAGGCTGAGAAGACCCACTGCACTGATGGGATGCATATAACTGGTGACTTGCCCAAACCCCGTTGATTGTAGTGTGTTTGCTCTCTCACTTGGGACTGCCCGTTGGATTTATACCAATGTTTTTAATGATCCCACGGGCGGGTGGGGGAGGTAATGGAAAGAAAAGTTTTATTATCACTGAGCAGTTAACTTGTTTTGACTTACTCAGAGTCTGCTATTTACCATTTGCCAGCAATCCAAATGGAGACTGCAGCTAAGACATCAGAAGACTGAGACTGGGGAAGAGCAGAAATGAAAGAGTCAGATAAGTGTCACTGGAAATCAAGACCCTGTCCACACTCTTCAGTCACCATGTATGGAAAGCTGGAAAGGAAAAAAGAAAGATTTAATTGAAATGTGCTGGATGAGAGCTTTGCAGAGACTCTGGAGTGCCAGAAAGACATGCAAGTGGATCCTAGAGCAAATCAAGTCTAAACTGTCTCTGGAGGCAAGAATGCTGAAGCTGATGCTGAACTACTTTGGGCACATCATAGGAAGGCAGAATTCTCTGGAAAAGACAATAATGCTAGGAGAGGTTGAAAGCAGCAGAAAAAAAGGAAGACCAAATATGAGATGGATTGGCTCCCTAAAGGAGCCACAGGCACGAGTCTCGCTGAGCAGGGCTGTTGAGGAAAGGCTATTTTCGAGATTGCGCATTCATAGGTCGGGGTGACTTGATTGCACGTAACAACTCAGTCCCATTGATTGTGCAGATGTACTGTACAGTCTTTCCAACTATCAGATTTATGTCAATATTAAAAAAAAGTTTCCACTGCAAAATAAAAATAGCATTAAAATACTAGGATTTCTTACAGCCCCACAATAAGCTGGCTTACCAAAGCTAAGAGGCCTGTGCCATTACTGGCAGCTGTTTTAGGAATGGCTACCAATCAGGATTCTGCATTTCATTCTCCTTTCATCCCATTCTTCCCAAAGCATTGATAGCATTGATACATATCACTGTGATTCATGGTCCCTAGCCCATGAAAGTCCATGTCATACACAGTCTGTTACATCTTTAATGGGCCACAAGGCTTTGTTACATTTTTAAAAGAACTGTGGAGATAGGGAAGGACAAAGTCTGCAATTACCTTTTGCTTTCTCTGGGCTACCAGTTGCATGTCCAGTTGCAGAACCAGGGACTACAGCCCCAATTGCTTGCGTCCTTTTGCTTTCTCTGGGCTACCAGTTGCACGTCCAGTTGCAGAACCAGGGACTACCGGGCAAGCAATGGCCAGCCTGGGCAACAGCCCCAATTGCTTGCGCGATGGCAGTCACATTCCACCCTAAGAAATAGCCCCTATATGCAGGCCATAGTACACACAAAGAGAGAGGAATGGGGAAGGAAAGGGTGTAAGAATAGCAGGAAGCTGGAACATGTCCAGAAGAGAGTGGCAAAGATGGAAGCCATGCCCTAGGAGGAACGGTTGAGGGAGCTGGGTATATTTAGCCTGGAGAAAAAGAATACTGAGAGACGACATGACAGCCACCTTCCAGATAGTTGCAAGATGGTCACATGGAGGAAGCTTGTTTTTCAGTAGCTCGAGAACAGAACCCAAAGTGATGGAAAGCTAACTACAGATTTTAACAAAAAGATTTTAACAAAAACATCCTGGCAAGAGCTGCTTAACAGTGGAATAGACCACTGGTTCTTAACCTTGGGTTACTCAGGAGTTTTGGACTGCAACTCCCAAAAGCCTTCACCACCAACTGTGCTGGCTGGGGTTTCTGGGAGTTGCAGTTCACAAACATCTGAGTAACAAAGGTTAAGACCCACTGGACTAGACTATCTTGAAAGGTGGTGGACTCCACTGGAAGTTTTTCAATAGGAATTGGATGTTTAAAATACCTGTTAGATGGCTTTTGTTGTAGATTCCTGCATTGCCAGCAGCCTAGATTCAGTGTCCCTTGGGATCATTTCTAGCTGTATAGTTCTGGTTCTAAAAAAGAGGTATAACAGCAGAGTGCTACTCCATATTTCCCTGGTTTAGAGAATGCAAGGGTCTCCCCCTTGCTATGATGTTCCTTTTAGAACTGGAAGTGCAGACTCCTCAGGTCAATTTCCCTGAAAGCTTGAGAATTCCCAGTTCAAAAGCTCGCTTTGCCACAATCCGCTCCATTTGCTGTAGATAGTAATAGGGGGAGGATTTCTGTGACATGTCACACTTTCTCTGCAACCTATACTTAAACCCACAAGCAAGTTTAAACGTGTTTATGAGTAGAGATTGGCACAAACTGAAAAACAAAATTCATCAAAAATTGTTAATTCATCAATTTGAATTTGTATGAAACACTGCCCCTGATGAATATGAATCAATTATTTTTTAGCGATTTTTGATTTGTCAATTTGTTGGGCTATAAAACACCCTCCAGGCACCTAGAGACATCAACATTGCAGGGAAGCTTCTCCTGACTCTCCTCTACAATCCCTCCAAGTTTAGTGAAGATTTGGTTTCAGATGTACGAGTTGTAGACCCATAAAGAGGGCTCCCCCTGGAAAATTCTTCCAAGGCACCTAGAGACACCAGAATGAAAGAGAAGCTTCCTATGACTCTCCTCTACAGTATGTCCGAGTTTGATGAAGATTTGGTTTGCCTAAACCAGCTGCTAAAGGGCACTTTCCTGGGGGGGACCCACTTTGTGGGTGTATAACTTAAAAATCTGAAATTCAAATGTCACCAAACTTGCACGTCTTGTAGGAGAGAGTCAGGGGAAACATCTCTGCGATTTTGATGTCTCTATGTGCTTGGGGGCATTTTATAGTGTTTTAAAGGCAAAATTGAATTGATGAATTGACTCATTGATTAATCACAAAAAAGTAAATTCATTATTCGTCAGCATTAATGAATTACAAATGAAAATGATTCACCATTTTTCTGATTCATGTCCATCTCTATTTATGAGTAATCTGGCCTTCCTCACCAGATTACTCATAAACATGCCCAAATCCACTTATAAATTCAAACAGCTTCAGAAAAATATGACACTATAGAAATCCTCCCTTTATTAAATCTACTATTTACCATTCATATAAAAGATGCTATGGTGAGTTGGGTGAAAATGTTTTTACAAAATAAATGGCATGCAATTGCCTAATTAATAAGTCTAAAGAAGAAACAGTTAAAAACTTGGAACAAACTTCTCCCCTGCAGCCAAAAATTGTGCCATGCCATTCTTATAAATATTTGCAATATTACTGAAACCTTCCTTATCAAGGTTGCCAGTCACAGATGCTGTAAAGGATTCAATTGAATGAGCTTCCTCCTATTAAGACTATGTGCTGAAAATGCAGATGTCAGCAGGTGTGTGGATACTGGTTTATCTGCATCCCCAGGTCATCATCACCCTTTGAGTCCTACATGCTTTCAGGCAAGACACCTGAATAAGGCTGTTGTTGGTCCCAAGTCTCAAGAAATTTAAAGAAGATAGAAAGAGCTGCTTTCCATTGTCTTTTACATAGCAGATAGCTACAGCCTGGCTCCCACATGCTATAGACTGTGTCAAAAATATTTTTCTTGTTGAAAATTATTTAAAGACAATGATAAAAGTATTCTTGGGGGGTGCCAGGTACACACTATTCAGCCCATCCTTGAGTTGAGACTTTAGACACACAAAAATCAAGCAGCCATCCTTTTATCCAGTGTCTAGTCGAGGAATTAAGCTATATTAAGAAAACAGCCAGACAACTTCTGATGCAATACCGGTTTTATGCTCAAGATAAAAATAAAGTTGGGCGTTGAGACATTTCAAGTAGAGAGGGATTCTAAACAACATTGACTCCTGACAAGAAAACCAAATAGTTACACAGAGTTAAGAAAAAGAATTTGCTTTATAGAAGCCCATTTTAAATTGCAAGAGCTGCACTACGTCAGATTCCCATTAAATCTCACAGGAAATCATTCTCATTGGCTTCTTTTGCAATATTTTTAATGTGAATTTCACCAGGTCCTTCAGAAGTGATGTTATTCTTACCACAATTGAGACCTGAAAGGATTCTTAATGTTTCATAATTCCTTACACATTCACTTCACTGCTTCATTTCTTAATTTTCTTCTCCTCATTTCCAGCTGAATCTGGCCAACTGTATTTTGCTTTCCAATAAATAAAGAAATTTATTTTGTCATTTCATTCCCTAAATTTTAACAATGATATAAACAGGATACTTTCATGGTTCAATTAAAAAACAAACAAACCAGTCTTAACCACCTTCCTCCTTAGGGCTCCTTAAAGTAGTCAAACTGTACAATTCCATGATATACTGTATGTATTTCAACTGCATTAGGCAAGCAATGTACAGTATGGTGTTCTACATGCCTTCTAGTCCTTTTTTTAAAAATTATAAGGCCAAATTAAATTCAAATCAGCTTTAATATATCCACAATTTTAAGAAGTTAGTTCATTAGTTCTTTTATTATGTCTAGATTTCTAGATTAGACATTAGAACCATTAAGTATGATGCTGATTATAAGTCATTTGCAGAAGGAAGGTCTCCAATTAAGAAATGTGGTGAGAAATTAGACTGTTTGTTACCTAAATAATGAAGTATAAAATAAACATTGGGCCTAAAGATCATTTTCTTGGGAATATTTGGGGGAATTAATCACACAAAGAAAACCATTAATTTTAATTTCTTAACAGCAGAGGCAAAAATAGGAGTAAATAACAGATACCAGAAAACAATTTAAGATACAAAAAAAAAATTCCCCACAATAAAAATAGAGAACACAGAAATTATGGTGAATTATGCCTCTTGTCAGTTTAATGAAGGATCTGGCTAATATTTTAATTGTCAAAGTTCTTACCAAATTACAATATGAAAAATAGAATACCATCTTCATTTAAATGCACCTGGGATCGAGTGACCTATGTTAAATATATCTGTGAGGTGACAAATCAAAACTATCATGGGAGCAACTATAAATACAAATCCAGAGATCTGGTTTTGATGTAGAAAAATGTATTTTATACAGAAATATCCATTTTACAAAGGAGTAAAAATAAATGTACATATTGTATACAAATCTTATGCACTGATGGATATTTAAAATATTGCTTTAAAAGCAGAATGGGGAAAATGGCCATTGGCTACCCAAGCAAAACTAAACACAAAATAATTAACTCATTTCTCAGCATCCTTTTCTCATTTTCAAAAACAATGTTTTTTTCAATAAAAATCCAATTAATATAAAAGGAAAACAATGCATTGAGCTTGGAAAGATATAAATAGGTTTTACTCATACAGTCACGAAACATAAATGCTGTTCCCAAATTGTGAGAATTTCAAAACAGTCTTTACAGGGTGTGTGCTGGGTTATTGTTGTTGTTTAAGTGGAAAGCACAGGAGATTTAAGAGTGCATCTGTTGCAATTTTCATATTTACAAGTTCAGCAAGCATTATGTGGCAAGCAAGCACAGAAGTAGGAAGTACCAGTCTCAAAGCAATGCAAGTCCAGTAATCCCATAACAGAACTGCCTTTTTATAACTCTTCTTACATATATGCTTTTTGGGCAAGTCCATCTCTTGCCCACCCGTCCACTTTGCAGGTGCTTACAACTTAAGTATGTTTGAAAGTGGCTTTAAAAAAACATTGAACTGTTTCTAAAGAAAGGACCAACAATTACCTGAATGTATTCTAAAAGGAAGCCTAGAAGTCACTATCTCTTCACTTTTTTATAAGAACAAAGATGATTTTTTTTAAGGCAACTTCAACTGAAAAGCAGCAGAGTTCGGAATTCAGTGACAAGTGTGCTAGAGTTAGACCAATCTAATAAATATTTTCAATCTAGTACCAAGGCTAATAATCTGGAACTGGTGACATTATAAGATACACAGAAGTATCAATGTCATTAAAGAGCACAGTATTTAAAAGATGATAGCCATGGTAAATAGTAGACCGAGACAGGCACTGTGAGCCCAGTTTTAATTTTAAAATGACATACTATGCCAGCAAAGATATCCATAACTATTTCAAATGTAGCTACATATAATTCCAGCTGCTTGTCAGGACAATGCTAGATTCATTGATACTTGAAACATCTAAAAAATGATTTGGAATGAAGATGTTGAGGGCAGGAGAAGAATTCTTAATTACCTAAAATTGCACTTACTGCTGTCCAAGTCTTTTCCCATTAGGGATCCTGAATGTTTGTACATCAAGTATGGGAGAAAAAAAATTATAGAATGAATCAGATGGCGTTGGAGGAGGCAAGCACACCTGCCACCCTCCATGCTGCAGCCTCCCTCCCAAGTCTGTTTCTAAATGCTTAGGGAAGACTCCATCCTCAGATATTTCATTTCTATGGACACCGTACATGCAAATTCTTCTCATAATCCAGACAACTCTTTTACATGCACCCAAAGGGTTGAATGTTGGTAGCAGGACTTCTTGTTTTCTTCCTTCAAGCTGTAGATGCTATCTGCTACACATCTTCTGAAGCTCCTCAGGGTATGGTGGCAGCTAAGCAAGAACCTTGGTTATGCTGCTCCACAGCTCTCAGCATTGGGCATCTATTCTCTGAAGAATGGATGACTTAGAAATCCTTCTCTTCAGAAGCAACTCAAGCTTCCATTGTCGAAGAACTTGATGTATCATTGTGAAACTACAGCCTCCTCAGGTTTCAATGTCAAAGCTCAAATTTAATATGTGCATAAACACATGAAGATGCAGCAACAACCTTGACTGCTACCACATGAGATCTGTTTAGTTATCCAAATCTCAGAGTGTGCGTTTGTAACTAGTCTATCCTTACACGCTGTAGACAACTTCAAATAGAAAAAGAGAAAGCCACGTGACAGTCCTCCACAAGAAAAGCCTTTCATGTATCAAGACGAATTTTTCTTTGTTGAATTGGATAGCGTTTCTGTGGGGAACATGACCGTCTCTTTATTTTTAGTAGAACAGAATTACTAGCTGCAGTTTGTGGGGGTATGACTTCCACTTGCGATGTGAGGTCTTTGACATCAGTTTTAGTCTCCTTTTTCCCTTCTGAGGCAGAAACAATCTGTTGGCGGACTTTGCACAGTTCCAACGTTGGTTGAAAAGACAAGGCCTTAGAGAACCCTTCTGCTCTTTCTATAAGGGATGATAGAGTCTTTGGATGGTGGAAAAGAAAATAATAGAAAAAAATGTTAAAAATGAAAGTTCTTTGGGTTTTTTCCAATGTAAACTGCATTACTTTATCTGTCTAAATGTCCAATATACTAAAATATTATTTTAAAGAAGAAGCCATTTTTGAATGTGAGTTACAGTGACACACTTAATAACATAAAGCTAGTGATTCTCTCATGACAGAGAGAGTCCCATGTGTTGCCTGTGGCTACCTTCTAGGTGAGCAATTTGCTCAACAGTCTACCACGGCAGCAATGAAGGATAAAACCCAACAAGTTAGGATTCCCTTACTTTCTAGGTTAAATCTAGATGCAGAACATAGTAACTACAGAGGCTTATTCAGCAGAACAACTGGAACCTCCTCTAGTAAATTAATTTACAGATGCGTGAACACATATATGCAGTGTATGTACATGTTAGAGAAAGTACGGTCAAAATCCTCTGGTGCAGCTATGCAGACAGCATAATTTAGGGAGGCAAACTGTCCCAAGTTAAGAAATTACTGTAGACATTATCAGTCACACAACTCAATACCAACAAATAATATCTGTGTTTCATGGGCTGAAATCCAGTTGTGTAGTTCTGCATGCACAATAGTGATTATGTCAGCAGCAGCAGCAAATTACCACTGATTAAAGGCTTCTTTTAAGGATTTCAGGGTTCACTCAATTTCACCACTTTGTATATCAGTCATGGGCAACCCAAAATTTAGTCAGCACTGATTTGCCGCTGCTGATATCCTCACATTTGTGTACACAAAGCTGTGCAACAGGATTTCAGCCACTGTCTCAATGCATATACACTTCTCACTCAAATTTACACAATATATCAGTCTTACAACTCAGTTCACTCATGTCTAAAAAAAGTTATGCCTTTTTTTAACTAAAGTTGTCGATGTTATGCAAAAATTAAATGAACCATATTTCTTATTTCCTCTTTCTTTATTTGTATTAGAGAACTGCACAATTTAAAATTATGGACATATATGAAATATAGAAAAAATTAAAAACAAATTAAAATCCTTTTTCTAAGACTTCTGCTTTAGCAGCTGGCCCATGTCTGTGTATGAAAGGTAAGTTAAAATGCCTTTGTCTGATGTGAGCCAACTATGTACAGCCAAATGTTAGAACAGACCAGCTGAAATCCATGGGATATGAGTCCCATGAATTTCAGTTGTTCTCCTTTAAGTATGACTAGGAGCACATCCAACCCACTGTTTCATCTCATAGATCTCACCTTAAATGTATCTCCAACGTGCCTGGATGCAATTTTTGTTGAAAGGCTCAAGTCTGCCATATAAGAATCTGTAAAGAAACAGAATACTGTAAATTTCAAATCTTCTCTAAAAGAGTTTGTGAGAAAATCTAGTCACTCATGCAAAGTTTTTTAAAAAGCATGGGAAAGGAAATCAGTTAAAAATTTTTTAAAATTGGAAAAGAATCATAATTTTAGAGATTCTACTCCAAACATCAGTAAATTTCATCCAATCCATTGGCTGCAGTTCAAGACACAAAGTGATTATATTTGCATTGGCAGACAGGATACTACAGAAGACTGAAAAGATTCTGTACACATTTGATAGGAATTGGAGACTACAGTTGCCTCCCAATTAAAATCAAGACTACTGCCACATAATCACAAGTGCTGTTTTTGACAAGGGACTGGTTAGCTTTTTGTGTTGACACTTGTCTTTTTCGACAAGCAGACATTTTCTAACTCATAGACAAGACTCTTTTGCATAGTGGTGGGTTCCCACCCCTCCCAATTTGGAATTTGTAAGCTCATGTTGACTCTGTCAGCTCTCATAAACAAAAGTAAAACTGCATGTAGTTTTGGGTCAGGTCTAGTTTTCACTCATTACAATTTACAACGAAGTTCTTTCCTGTCAGTAGAATCTTTGCAAATAAGGAAGTACCGGTAAATGCCAGAATAATAAAAATGGAAAACCCGCCTACTCTAATGTAAGAACTCTCTGTTAAGTCAAACTCAAAAGACAGGACATTTTAAGAAATTAAATACTTATGCTTAATGCATTTTAATGTGTTGGTACTGATACAGCAAAGAACATAGTATAAAAAATATAAACACCACAATAAACACACATTTATTTATGCCTGAACTGACAAAACTGTAATCAGGAAGGCATACTAGGAGCAAAGACATACTATTTACATAGATGTTTAACTATGTGAACCAGCAAGAAGCAAAAATGAACTTGATCAACATTGTGGCCAATTCATATAACATGTTTGCTACACAGGGACACAAGCAACTTCAAGAAGTTTAGGGTTCTGAATCTACACTTCAGAGTACAATGTACCTCCAACAAGAAGTTTTGACAGAAAGCTCCAGATTGCTACAGTGAAGAAATGCTTCACAAATCCCCCATAAAGTCTGAGTATACAAAAAAAGGGGGGGGAGGGGAGGGGAGAGAAGCAGCAATCACTCAAGATGCTTGCCAGAGTGGCTAATCAAACATGGAAGCTTGCCACTGGGTTGGAGGATTGTGGGTTAGCTTGCATCATATGACCATCCTTGGTGAACCAATCAAGAGTTTTTCACTTCTTAATACATGATGTGAAAGAGAAATACAGTCCTGCCTTGTGAAACTTCTTCCTCTCTTTCTTCCACTTCTCTTAACTTCAGCTCCTGGAACTGCTTTTTAGAACAAAAACATAGTGAGCCCATGAAATGTTGACTTGCTCAACCATTGTTTTCACAAAAACCAACCCCTTGATTCTCACTATCCCACTATATCCAAGTCTATGGTTATAGGGGATATATGGAACACCAGTTCTCCTGCTGACTGCTTGCTTGATCTTCCTCTGTTGTTCCCTTTTGGCAGACTGCCCAGCACAGAGTCAGAAAGATATGCCACCCCAGTGTTATGTGAACAGATATTCCTGTTGTCTCGCAACTCTCCAATTTTGCTTCAAATGATGAACCAGGCATGAGGGCCTGGCAGTGCTAGTAAAAAGCGTGCAAAACTGCCCATGTGGTTAGGGCCTATTTCTCAAGCATTTGTCCCACGGCTAATAAGGGGTCAGGTCAAACATAGAACAAGCCTCAGTGATACAACCTGAAATGAAGCACTCTGAAATGATTTCTCACAGTGATTTATACCAATCATCCAGACTTCACTACGGAGACTAAAGGCACTGTGTACATAACTAAATCTCACTTTACGGAAGAGCATTTTGGGTGAACCTGAATAAGTTATTCTCTATTAGCCTTTGTTTTCCACCTGTAAACTGGTACCAGGACTGATATGAACTGAAGACTGCAAGCACTTGTGATCTTCCCAAAGACACTGGACTTTCTTCATCTGATAAGACAACTGGACTATCTACACCAGGGGCCAGGGAACTTTTTTACCTTTTACCGCCCCAAAAAAGTATATACGCCGACATTACCCCCTTGATTCGAAAGGAAGGAAATCATACATTATTTGAATTAAAAATATTATTGAATCTACACAGGCTGTGTAGCGAACTAGCAGGATGCACCAAATTTGATAAAGATGTGCACTATTTTTGCTGGAATACATTTCACTCCAGCCATGGTGTGGTATAGGGAGTAGTAAGGAGTCCAACGTGCCTAGCAAGTTGCATTACATTTTTGCTAGCTCGCAGAGGATTTAATCATCATCAGTGGCTGCCAGAGCGGTGCTAGCAATGACATGCTTGCTAGAGACAGTCAACACAGAATTGGGGGGGGGGTTTTCCCTATCACTTTATTCATTCTATGTGGGGGGTGCAAAAAGGAACAAACCAGGCTAAATGTCACATCACCCACCCTGGTGCCACAGGACCAGTATGCTTTTTTTATCATCATCAATGGAAAACTCAGCAGTGGCCAGAGGATTGGAAAAGATCAGTCTCCATCCCAATCCCAAAGAAGGGAAGTGCCAAAGAATGTTCCAACTACTGTACAATTGCACTCATTTCACACGCTAGCAAGGTTATGCT